ATCTATTTATGCTGTTCATTAGTGCTTCACAATGAGGATTAGAGGATTAGTTAAGTGCATTTGAGGTAAGCAGGCATTGATTTAGTAATTTTAAGTTTGTATAATTTTAAGTTGTATAATTTTATGTAATTTATTTCAAAATCAAAAAAATTTTTCAACTGCTAAATGTAAGATTCGTTGGTATTATATTTACATCATGATATGCACATACATCATCACACAGTACATATACACATATTATCATTGATATGAGAAGAAAAAAAATCCAATCAATATAAAACAATCTGCCAGCCAACAGCAATAAGATTGATCATCGTTTGATTGCAAAACAATTGGTCATGCTGCAATCAACATTAAAAATATATTAAAGCCAATCGACAAATCGGAGAGGACCAACGTTTTTATCGCACTGAAACAGTGAGAAACTAAAGCACAGTGCAAACGTCAAGTAAACTCAAAGTTGAAACACATAAAATCACATAAAAGCTAACAAACTTTGTTATTCCATATTGTGTCCATGAGGGTTAATGGCTTTTTGATTTCAGTGCTGTTTCAATTTTTTGTTTTTGAAGTAGTTTTTTCCCAATCCATGGCCTTTTGGCAATGCCCAACTAAATGTGTTTCTTGTGGTTGCACATTTTTTATCACTTATGTAAACAAGTAATCAACAACGGCAACACTTGACACTGACATTTAGCAAAGAATCCAAAAAAATTGATAAACTTACTCGCAATTCCAAGACAGCATGGAATCCGTATTCTGGCCACTCGTTATGGGAGCAAATATTTGCATCTATGATGAGTTTGCAAGCTGCAGCAGTTGCCACTCCAGATTTGATAAGTTTCTAATAAATTAATGTACAAGAATAATAGATGTATGTGTGATATGCATATGCATTTATGGTAATTGTTCGTAGTATTGTAGTAAACCGTAAAGTAATTAGACTAGAAGGCTAGATAATAGACATGGGTATATATTTCGTAGTGTTCCAAACAAAACTTAATTCATTAGAAAAGTGCTAAACCTTTTTGTATTACAGGCTGCGTAGGCGTTAAATATAAAACTTTAAATAATAATTATTTCTAATAAAACTATTTTTAGTTTCGGTAATAATTAAATTATATTATTTCTTAAAATTATTTACAAACTACAAATTATTTTTTTTGTAATAGATTTTAGTTATCTTTCCTAGTGACTAACTTTGGTTTGAACTAATTCTCCTTGAAGAAACATGTTTTCATATAAAATTTTATCTAACCTTACATATATACATATATATATATATTATATAAATATTGTAGGACGTTACATACCGCCGAAGTAGACCACGAAACGAATTGTGTGCTTTTTAATCCTTCGATTCTCGGATATCGTTACTGACTTTAAAGCTAAAGTGGCATCTCTTGTTATTGCACGCAGCTCATTTAGTTTGGAGGTTGACTATCAAGTCATCACCAACCCAATGGTGTCCCAAGACAGTTATCCTCCTGCGTGCCAGTGCTGGCCATTAGCGCAATATATGCACCGCTTTCTCCTTTTCTTCGAAACAGAGTTTGCAAGTGTCTTCCTCAATAAGAGTTACCTTTTTGAGGTGATACTGGAAGTTTATGTCTTCCATCTTATCTTACTTTACATTTGATTAGGTTACCTTTGGTTAGATTATGTTAAATTAAATAAGGTTATGCCGACAATCCAAAGGATCCACTTAGCCCTATTAGCACATAATGTTACTGTATAAGATAAGGTTTAGAAATCTCTTGAATCGTTGGTAAAGCTGAAAATGCTTTTTGGTGAGCAGTCTTGGAGTTGGCCAAGAAAATAGAGAATAAGACAACAAAGCCAATTTGAAGCACTTTCCACAACTGCGACAAGAATAATTTAAAGGAGAATTTAATCTTCAAGTAAGGATCCTTAATCAGCTGTGACCTATATGCAAACCTGCCACAAGACTGATATCTCTGTTTACTGCCATCCAGAACGTAGCCAACTTCTATACAGATACCTATGTACGATATCGTAAAATCTTCCCAATATTTAATAATTCCATAATACTCTGTGACTAATCTAAAATTATCAAATGACAAGAAAGTATTAAAATGAAATTTAGAAACAATTTCTTTTTTTTAAACAACTACACGGTATAAATTTTCTATCATAACTATGCATGCTTCCGCTGCATGTTTTACGTTTTAGAATATCAAATTAAGATAACTCTACTAATGATTGAATAATTGTTTTTATTGTTTTCTTTTCAAAAGTATTATTCTCAGGAACACATAGCTCCAAAGACCACCGTCACGTATGTTGGTTGTCAATCGTTTAAATTTCAAATCAACTCTTCAGGCAAAGATATGTGATAAAACCATTTCTTTGGATTATTTATTTAGTACACGTTATAGGAAATCTATTAACAAATCTATAGGCATTGACAATACCTCTATGTTAAATGTAGTGTAACTATAATGTCTCAGCTAGTACGTTTTCAGAAAACTAACCAGAAAAGCGCCTAGATGCAGAAATTATATTTTATAAATAAAACAATAAATAATTAATTTTATTATTTTTATTTTTATTTTTTTTATTATTATTTTTAAATCAATGCATTTCAATCACAAGGTATTTAAATCAAGGTATAAATCAAGCATTTCAATGACTTCAACAGTGTACTGTTTACAACATTACTTATGACTTTTGATATTCTAAGTGGGTTCAAAAAATAACCAAGTCTACGTCCCAAAGTCACTTGTCGAGTGCGACAAACAATTACCGGTAGCCACACGCAAGAGGGACTACACAAGCATATCACTAGGTTATAACAGCAATTAGATTGTTAGGAAATAAATATAAAAAAATATTTTTATAATATCCTGTGTCTAAAAAGCTATATAACAGAAAAATTTTCTGTAGCAAATTTTATTATAAATATTTTTAATATATGGATAATTATACTAGATAATAAATAAAAACCAAGAAGCTATTTTTCGATGCAAAAGCACGGAAGTAAGCAAGGATGATGCGGAAGTCTGAACGAATATGGCAAAAGGCCAAGAACGAACAGGAAGCTTCCCGAAATAATGCAAAAGTAGTCCCAGGAAGCTCTCCCTAATGAAGAGATATGGTCTTTTAGACGCTAAGAGTCTGGCATACTGGTATCATGAAGATGCTACTGATGGCCGATGATGGGTTTCAAACGCCTCAGCGCAAAAAAAGGAGAAATAAAATATATAGATAATTAAATAAATTGGAAACTTATTTTAAAATTAAAGCTTAATGAAACTGATTTCCATCTAATAAATTTAATTAGTAATTAAAACTCATTGTCTTGAATTAAATGATTTTTAATAAAGCCAAGCAAATTTTTTGTCGGTGGAATATATTTTAAATACATTTTATATATACATATTAATATTCTACTAGTACATGTATTTTTTGCATATATATTCGTTGCTTCACAGTTTTATGTTACAACCTACAAAAAATTAATTAAATATTTGGTTTGCCTAATATTATTATTGCTTTTGTAAAATTACTAAATGTAAATGTGCTGTTCATAAGTCTTCTTCTGTTGGTGTAAAATTGTTAATTGATTTTTAGTCATATCCATTAATTTCTTAATACAAAAATAAGATTAAAACAAAAACATGATAAATAAATAAATCATATTTATTTAAACCTCGCAGCTAATAGAGGGTAAAAGTGCTGATGGCACTGACTCAACTAGCCTCAACATAATAATAAATAAATAAATTTTATTTTAAAATTTTAAATTTAAAATTAATTAAATTTAAATAATTTAATTAAAAACATTTTTAGTTATTTTTCAAAAAATACAAGACTTAACTTGTAGGAATCACAAAATATTTAGGCAAGCATGAAAAATGTCTTTCAAAACATAATAGTTTTAAAAATATTTATAAAACATAAATTATAAATAAAATGTTATTATATAGAATTTAATCAAAATTAATTTCTACATGTATTGACAATTACGATTAATTAATATAATCATAGTACATAAAAATACTATTAAAATAAAAATAATGTTATATAGTTAAAATATATTGAGATATATACATCACACTTTTAGATTTATAATTGTTATTACATTTTCTATAAACAAATAAAAATGCAATAGCAAAATAAATAACTTCTATTATTTACTGGCAGATTTAAATACAAATATAAAAAAATAGAAATATTATAGGCGAATAATGCACTACATTATAAATTAATTACTGAGAATATGAGATATTTTTACATCAAATTCAATAAAATAAATTGGCATTATCCAAAAAAAAAAACAATTATTGATATAAAATTCTAAAATTTAAGTAAAATTTAAAAAAGCAGAAATAAAAAAGCTATTTATATTCAGTTTTACAAAATATTTACTTAGAAAGTATTGTAATAGAAATAGATATAATAGATATAAGTTGATTAAAAACTAAACACATTTTTAAATATTATTACAATTATTAAAAAGAAACATTTAATAAAACATTGAGTTATTGAAGAAGAAGCATTATAATTAATTAATCATTTTGATTTTTCATACATGATTTAGAAATATTTTAATATAAATCAAATTTATATTTAAAATAAAATCAAACTTATATTTAAAATAAAATTAATAATAAAATGAGGTATTCAATTTACTTATTTATTAAAATTCTTCATGTGTTCTTAAAATTAAAAATATTTTCAAACAAACATTAAATATATATAATATATCATTTGTTTAATATTTATAGCGACTTTATATTATTGCTTTTTGCAACAAAGTTATATATAAAAGTGTTTATTAATACAAAAAGCTGCTTTCTATAATAAAACAAACATAATTTTGAAATAATTATAAAAATATTAAAATAAAAAAAAAAATTTAATAATATAAAACATAAATGAATATTAAAATATACGAGTTCTGTAACATGTAAAGAAAATAATAAATACTTTATAATAATGATCACAAGATAATACAATTATTAAATATATAATATCGTAAAACTAATTCCCTACAATACATACGCATATAAATTTGCTTTAGCAAACGTTGCAAAAATTTAGTATACAATTCTTTTTGGTAATTAATTGTGTACTTATTTATGACAATTGTTATATTGGTGTAAGATCAACAGTGGTCTAATATATATACTTCAGAATTTACTACTGCAAAGTGCTAATATTAATACATATATTGCCATTTATACTTTTAAATATAATAAATATAATTTTAAATAATGCTATTCGTATTTTTCTCATATTTGTTATGGGGTCTTAAAGTGCTATTAATTTGGTTTTGCATTTATGTTGTTCCCAAAGTTCTATGAGCTGATCACGTCCACTGACATTTCTTTCTGGAGGTGTTACATCAGGTGATTTAACTGTAGGGGATAATACGCCACTCTAAATTAAAAACAAACGTTTAATTAATATTTATTTACACCGGTTATTTAAATAACTTACCTTCGAAATTTTGCGAGGATCTAAATTTAAGCTTATGTTTTGCATGCCCTTTGCTAGCTTGGATAACGGACTAGTTAGTTGTTTTAGTTTATTATTATCTGTTTGTAAAGTAGTTGCAGGTGTTATAGTTAAATCCTTCGGAGTTGAAGATCTAAATTTAAAATATAAAAAAATTTTTTAAGTAATAAAAGACGCAATTGAGAGATACACAATTGCTAGAATATAAAGCAAACACCATACAGTAATCAGTTATATTGAAAATTTTAATTTTATTAAATTAAACAATAAAAAATTCAAAAATAAAATACAAAATAATACAGATTTAAAATAATATAAGTAAATAGAATTGCACAAAATTAAATAATTATAAATTTTTTTGTGTGTGAATAAAAAGGAATAAGGAATATCGTTTTAAGAAATATAAATAGTTTTTTGATAATAATTTTTATATACTGATTTCTCATTAGACGAATATGAACAGCTTATTGCAGAAATGCATTCATAGTTTTAAGCTAGCTGTAAAAATAGATAGAACACTTACATTAATGCTTACAATACTATTAAAATTCTACAGTCTTCTACTTTTTAAAGCATTCCCAAAATGAGAAATAGTATTTTTCCTTTTTCCAAAATTAGAAACAAGAGACATAGGTATTCTTCTAGAATATTAACGCATATAATTTTAATAAATAAGGAATATAGGGATAAAAAAAAAGTAGAAAAATGCAATAACATAAGTTATAAATAGCAAATAATTATGATGATTAGAAATAAATTAAATTGATAGAATTAATTTTGAAATAAATTATGTAAATACACAAATAAAATATTATATAAATGTTTTGGAAACACATTTATTTGGCCAGTTAGACCAACTAATTAATTATTTTTATAATTACAACAAAATTAATTATTCACTAAACATTTCGATAAGAGTTTTATCGAAACTCACAATTAAATTAAAAATAAATAATTTTTGTTTTAATTTATATATATGCAAACAATACATTTTAATCAATTCTTGAAAACATTTACATTTAGTACAAAATAAAATAAAATTATTTGTATTAAATATATATTTAGTATACAGAAAGCAATTGCATTAAACATTACTACATTAAAAAATTTTTTATATTGACGACAATTAAATAAATAAAGGTAATAATAAAATCATAAACAAAATATACATTTTGGGTCAATAAAATTGATAATATAATATCATAAATTATTTTTTCTTGAATTTATAGAAAAATAAATCCACAATAATTAAAAAACAACAGTTTAAGTCAATATTATCACAAATAAAATACCGACCTTGATTGCTCAACTGAATCAGTATTTTTTTCCAATTTTTCTTCTTGTACACAAATTTGTGGATTTGGTGTAATGGGACGAACTGGCTGAGCATTTTCCAACAATCCAGTTGGCATAGTAACATGATCCGTTACAGACGATATAGAAATTGAGAAAACATCTTCAATATTTTTCACCATATTATCTTTATCTGCTAAACATTGTACTTCATCCGAACCAGGTGATTGTTGGTCGTCTTTTGGTTTTTTCTTACCCATCACAATTCCAACAGATGGCAAAAATACATTTTCACTAAAAGTGGTCTTATCAACTGCAGATACAGCAAGCTCAACATCAGAGTCCAGTTCAGGTTCATATATACTATTGTCATTATCATCTGTTTCGGAACTGCTGTTAGAATGGCGTGATTCACGACCCAAATGAAAAGTAGCCTTTTCGGCTTCAATGCATTTATCTATTGAATTTTGTGACTGACGCATAACTTGTGGATTTATTTTAGCTGCTGCATTACTAATATTATTTTCTGAATTGGCACTTGATTTATTTATTCTATTTTTATTTGGATTTAGTGACTGTCCTAGTTTAGAAAATTGTCCTGCTACATTGGAGAAAGCTTTGGAGCTTATTTGTAAAAGTTGTGACTCAGATAAATTGCGTGGCATACCCTGAAATATTTTTAATTGGTAAATTATTTATATTTTCATTAATATTATTCTTATAAATACCTTTGGCACATCTAGAAGTGGGTTTTTGCTCTTGCGTTTTTGTAGCATACCTCCAGTAATGTAACTAACATCATTTTTACCAATATTTTCCAAAGCGATACGAAACATATCCACAATTGACATAAGAGATTCTACAATTTGAAATAAAATCTTTTTATTAATAATCGTTTAATATTAAATAAGAAAAGGAATGATTAAAAACTAAAAAAAAAATTCGAAGATATGTTACTTATAATCCAAAAAAATAGTGTTTGAAACATGGATTTATTTTTATATTTTTTGTTTTTTTTTTTTTAAATATTACTTAGTAACCACAACATTTGTTAACTTGGCGTCTAGTCCTTAAAGGCACAAGCCAGTAGAGAATTAATAACTAAAAGACTTTGTATGTAGAAATATTAATACATTTAAATGTTTACTATTAAGTTTAAGCTGTAAATTTGTTTTGCAGTGTTTTATTTATTACTGCCATTCTCGGAATATATTATTTTAAGAAGTTGAAAGATTTCATTGTTTATGTGTTGAATTAATCTATTTAATTTAATTAATCTATCTATTTAATTAAAAATATGATAAGTAGAAGTAATCACAATCACTCACTTTTGATTAAACAACACGAAAAAGAATTTATGAACTCTTCATTATTTTTTAATTTAACACTATAAATAAATAATTAAACCCTTATAGACCTTAATATCATTTCTAAAAATTATAAATAGAAATAGAAATCTAGTGGCATACCCGCAACTTCTTCTTGTGTTTTGATAATATAAGCAGTATTATTAAAAAAACGTATATTAGCCGAACGGAACATATGAAAATATCCACTAGCACCATCGATAGTATAATTTATTCGTAAACACAATAATGCAGGAGCAGATCCTTGAAATATTTTTGTTTGTTGATACATGCCAAGTTCCAACATTGTTACATTTTCCAACTGTACTTTCTCAAAGCGAACTATTTTATCTAAAGGTGAATCATATTCTGCTACAATATAGCAGTCATCGGTTAACAATAAAATACTATCGACTTCTGTTTCATTGATATCGCCGGTACTGTAAAAAGCAAGTATATTGTAATTATTATAGAATAAATAACACCAAAAGTTTTTAAAAACCTTGGATCTGCATCAATTAATCCCCAAGCTCCAACAGGATATTGCGCCGAACCTAATAACAATCTACGGCAGTCTTCCACAAGCAACTTTGCGTGTTCGGCGCCTTCCAAAGCATCATTGTCATCAGGGGCCGCTTGGCCCCCTAAAGCGTTTAAAGATTCTGAAGTGACTTGACCACCTAACATAAGATCAATAGTAGCCTGTCGGTATGTGTCCTTAAAGCGTGCTAAGTAATAACTATAAAAATAATGATAACAAAAATTGTTTAGTAATAAAAAGTTATTAAAAACATAAAAAACAACATAATGAAGACATGCTATAATAAAATTGATATGTGCAAGCAAATGAAAACGCAACTTAATATTTAAATTAATTAAACAATAAATAATTTAAAAAACATAAAATATTACAATTAAAAAAAAATATAAACATGTTATGAAATAAATTGTATTTTATTAATTTCATTGTTATTTAACATAAAATTTGTTGTATATAAAAAGTTAACAAAAAGAATTTTGCATTATTTAAAAATTTGCTTTTGTAATTTACATCAACAGGTTTCTCTGCACACCTTGAGAAAAATATGTTTTCCAATAAGAGTATTTCTGGTCCGAGAACCCCAATGTAATAATGACCTCTTGAAGGGGTTGGTAATGTTTGAAAAAAAATATTTTTTACAGTTTTCATGATTTCATCTTCTTTTAATTCCGTAGAGTCATTAAGCTTGCCATGCATAAGATCGATAGTACATTGTCGAAATGAATCAGCAAAGTTTTGTATGAAGAAACTAGGAATAAGTTCTTGTTTATTTATCTCATAGGTTTCCTTAGCGGACAAAACACCCCAATCGAATTTGGGATAACAGTTTTATTGGATCAAAGTAAATTGAAATCACATTCACAATATTCAGCGTTAAATAATATAAAAAATTATATATATAAATATATATAGTATATATGCTAAGGCTTACGAACAATGCATTTTAAAAAGTTTTTAATTGTTTTTATATTTCATGATATAACTTTATTATCATATTATCTCAAATTCAGTGTGGGGAATATGACCGAATATAACACATATATGAAAGTATTTTTAATTACAAAGTTTTTATTATAATTTAAGGCATTGGACTATGAAAAAACTAACTAATAATTATGTATTTATGCAAATTGAAAAATTGGACAAATGCAATATAGCAATACTAAATTTGTGATTAAATAATAAAAAATATTAATAAAAATAAATAAAAATGATAATAGTGCACTAAGATGTTAAACGAATTATGAATTCTCTTATGAAAAAATAGACAAAACGTGCACTTTTTCTAACTAACCGATTTGCTGAATTCATGCCATCTTTCATCATCCCACTAATTTTCCGTTCACCAGTACGTGTATAATCACCCTGGGAATAATAAATGTTAAAATTAATAAATTTGTTAATTTATGCATTTTATATATATATATATACCTTTAAAGCATTTGTGCCCGCATACTGTCTACTGATTATATCACCATTATTTGCCCATAGAATCATAAAAGGCGTTTTTAATTGTTCTGGAATAGGCGTATATGGCGGCGCTAAACCTAACTTCACTAATTGTGACTCTAATACTGCTTTACCTAAGGCTGTTTGGACTACATTCGTACGATCCAAACAATCCATACAATTAACACGAAAAACAGACTTTTGATTACATATCACACCACGTTGATCACGCCAATGAAAACCCATAGCACCAGCTTCCGGTGCTAGTGCTTCAATCAAAGCTGAAACGTTTTCAAAACGCATACCCCGACTTAAAGTGAAAATTAATAAATTAGTAAGAAAATGTTTATATAAATTTATATTTACCAGTATTCGTGAAAATCGAATGTTACATATATTAATTTATCGCAATTAAAATCTATCACATGTTTTGCATAAGCATCACCAATCAATTTCTCTTTACCAGTTTGCTCTACTAAATTGACTATGCAAATACCTCCATAAATTGACAGTTCTTTCTGAAAATGTTTTTCTAACGCTTCTTGAGTATCTTTTTCACCTAAATAAATTGAAATATAAAATTAATAATAAAAAACTAATAAAATAAGTGAATAAATAGTGAAAAATTAAATTAAATAGTTTTTCACATTTAAATGTGATTTATTCTAGACAAATTCTAGAAATTTTAACCTTTTATACCTTTGTCTAAACGCGGTGGGGGTCTATATTTATAACCGGGTTGACTCCAGTATACAGGAACCGAGCCACGTATTTGTGTGAATGATAATTGATGATGTCGGAATGAAAGTATTTGTTCAGTTTCAACATAATTTGCACAGTTTCCTATTTCGTCAACACCTCGTCTTTTATATCTAAAAGGGAAAATCAAATAAAAATTATTAAAATAAAATAAAAAGGAAGAGCAATTCACATTTTTACAACGAATTTTGGAAAATTTAATATTGTTAGCATTTTTTTCACAATTCTAACCGATATAACATAGTTCTCAAGCTATCGGTCTTTAAAGCTGCAAAGTTCGTCGATACATGCCGTCCTTAAAAACCGATTAATTACCTTACACAGACCAAGTGCAACTAAGCCCTTACGTTGCAACATATACCACAATGAACACATAGCTTTATTCCATGTTTTCGTTATATTATCCTATTTTATGTATACATCTTGTTATCGTTTTATATGCTAGCTATCTAATATAACATAGTGCTGTTATAATTGAAATCATGTGAAATAGTAAAATTAACATATGACTACAGTTCGGCCTCAGTTAAATTGATTCAAATAGTGTAAAAACAAATAACTTTATAGTTTTTTTAGATAAATTTTGTATGAAATAAGTTATATGAAAATTTCCTCTATGTTTACCACACAGATAGGCATTCCAATGGCGACGCAATCAGAAACTTCGCTTCATGTTATATATACGTTTATCTCTTTCTTCATATTATGAACACAGCGGCACTTACTACACTTACGAAAATGACATTAATAAACTCGAATATAAACGAGTTATATAGCAAATTTCCAAGCAAAAGCAAGTTTTTCTAAAAGGTATGATGCAACAAGACTCTTAACAGACCCCATATTAAGCAAAGAAGGTTACATATTTCGTGTACCAAAAACTGTTGTTAGTTAAATGGAGTTAGTATACAAGTCACATATTAATTATTTATTTGGAATATCATATATATATATATATATATATATATCAATTTCAAATACATGACCTACCAGTAACTCAACTCTGTACGACATCGCCACATGTTTTCATGCCATAAAGGACACACTAATTTAAGCTCTATTGAGTTACAGGTAATACTCTTTAAAGTGGCAAAATACCTTCGCCTTGACTTATACTTATTATTGCCCACCAAAACCCCTACACCTTATTCTAATTCATCTTGTAATTTGTTCATGATTTCTGCTTTGTGCCCTTCAAATTACAACAACAATAATTAAAACAATTTAATATGTATTACTTTATACATATTATTTATTTTAAATATGCCTACATGTAGTGACTTTTGCAGTTGACTGCTCTAGCAAAGTTTCTAATTTTTCGCTTTTACGCCGTAAAATGTACATTGATGCAGACCACTGCTGGTCAATGCCAAATGTGGTCTATTCAAAACGATTATAGCCAGCATTTGAAACGACTCTCATTGGTTGTGCTACTCAAATTAAGTCATACTTTCAGCACAGAAAACCTTATAAATATAACTAATGCAACTCTGGCGCACATAACAATTTTCTCTTTTACGTAATTAATACGTTTGTTACCTTGTACCGGCACGATGTCGTGATCTGCGTGATACCAATGCTAATGTGAAACATTCATTGCCAATGACACAAGGTTCAACTTGCACAAATCCTTGTATAATTGGTAGCACCCATGTTTTATCCTAAAAAACAAAAATTTATATTAAATTTAGATTTTAAAAGTCACAAAATAGAAAAATCTATATTCAGATTAGATTAAATTACATTGAGTTCAAGTATATCCTTAATCATGTGCATGTTCCAGAAGAAACGTTCATCGTACTGCTGTTCTTCACTGTGGCGTTGCAAATTATTGGTAATATCACTATCAAAGCAAAAATAAAAACTGTCCGTTTCATCGAATATTTTGTGCAATTCTTCTGTAATGCGCTTCTCAATTCGCGATGGATCACGTATTCCCACAGACGATTTCACTTGTATGGATGCAATCGCAGCTGCTTGTTGTGTAGTATTTTTGATTGTATTACCAGCACTTTTCACAGCGCCCCATGTTTTATTCATAAGTTGATTTCCTTCGAAGAGTTTTGACCTTGTGGATGTGGCATTTTGACTGGTATTCGTAGAAGTCCCAGAAGTATTGGAAGTGTGTGTTGGTGTTGAATTGTTGCTTCTGGAAAGGTTTTAATTATTAATGCAATTTTGCAGTTGAGTAAGCAGAACAAAGGTGCTGCTTTACTTACTTTGAGTGTCGTGTGCATGATGTTAAGATGGCATCAGGTTCATCCGCACTTAAAATACATACGGATTTTATTTTGTAAACTAAATGTGGTGGAAATAAGACACCAACAGGTGAAGCCTCTTTTACTATCACAAGATGCGGTTCATAAACATTTGGTAAACTAATTACGCCAATAATTCCATGCGTTATGCCAATACACTCAATGTCGTCAACTGATGAGAGGTCCCATCCTGTAAGGCAAACAGTGGAAATACCATATAATTAGCAAACATTCAGGTAATATAATTATTGTTTTAGATTCAAAGGAAATGGTTACTAATATAATTGTTTGTTATTATTAATGTCCTTGCCGTTTCACTTAAATGAATGATTTCGATAATTATTTTAATATAAGCCATAAGTGCAAAACACTAGGGATAGGTCACGACTCATTTTCCGTATACATATTAATCTTTGTAAATTCAAATAAAACACGCACTCATTATTGATTATTTAATTTGCTAATGCACGAAATATTTTAGATATATTTTTGGCGCATTATATACGACGTGAGTTCCAAAGTAAACAGAACTTTTTAAAAATAGATATTTTGTAGTGTGAACATCTGTAGTACAATATTTCAAAGGCAATAACTCTAGTTCTATTTGTCCAAATGTTATGAAATTTTGACAATGCATACAACAGTAAAGGATCATAACTATTATTGTCAATAGTTGGATTCACTACAAATACATATTTTCAAAACGTCAAGTTTACTTCTAAGCTCACTTCATATATTACAAAATTGACACTTATCTAATGTCTTACGTATAAAATCAAGATATGTAAAAAGGCATTATTTAAAGTCTGATTAGTGATTAAGTAAGGCAAAATGTAACATAATCCGACATCAATTATTTATTACTCTGTTCTTTTTAGGGATGTGTAGAATAATCCATTATTCATCACAAGGCCATGAAATGTAGTTTTTTTCTTAATTTATTTTGAGAGACATAAATTAGAAGACCAGGAATGACTTAAGTACTTAAAAAAATAAATACAAGAGACTGTAACATTTAAAAGCTGATCTAAAACATAAAAATATTTTAGTAGTTCACTATTTAACATTTCTGTACTCTAGGTTTTCGGTCATAGAGACATTTTCGGCAATTACAATAGCAGATGAGCTAGCCGGATATGGTACTTCATGTAATCATTTGTAATACCTTAAAAATCTGGACATATCGTTGACACTATGCAAACTTGTGCTGAATTCTTTTTGTGCGAAACATTTAATAAAACATTTATAATAATAAACATTTAATAAGACTCAACGATATATAAGCATCGCTATGCAAGGTGGCCCCATTCTGTTAAGAAATCCAATACTCTCTTTGAGATGTCTTGTAGATATCTTGTGGTAGATTTGCTTACTGGTCACAGCTAATTTAGAGAAATATATAAAATTGAATCTCCCTTTTAATCAATCCCATTGCAATTGTGGAGAGGACCATGAAAATACCTCACACTCACTTTGTTTATTGCCCAGCGTATGCGTGATTTCATTTCACTATTTAAGGGGCCTCATTTTTGAGGATCTTGTCAATTCCAAAAGCTCATACTTAAAAGTATTTCAAGCTTTGCGGAGGATTGTTTTTAAATCTCTGTGTTTTTATACGGTAACACAATGGGCCAATAGGGCTAAGTGGATCGTTTGGATCACTGGTATAACCTAACCTAACCATGTAAACAGTTAAGGACTGAGCGATTGAATAGAAGTATCAGATCTGAGTATCAGTTTAGTGATAGTTCTAGCAGCTCTTTGAAATTCATATTTAGACACAAATTCAAAAAACTGAATACGAATTCTTTTAAACAAACCTATGTTAGCACTCATTACACAAAAAAAACTAGAAACTAGTTAAAAATGTATAAAAATATTAACAGCTTAACAATGAACAAGTCAGTACAATTTTTAGACTAGTGTATTACTTTAGTAACAATTTAAGCATTATTTTCAAAAATTGTAAATAAATTTACAATGGACAGAACTTCAGAAATTAACTAAGAGTCCCTTGAATTGGAACTGCATTATTAACGGCAAGTATGACTTGGAAAAAAAGGAAATTAAAGCAAAACTAATAGGAATGTGACATGAGACAGTATATACAAAAATATCGCTAAACTAATTGGGTTTAAAGAAATCGATAAACATTTTGATCTACAAAAAAAATTTTAAAAAATATTTTATTGCCTTTTAGCGTAAAATATTTTTTTATAATTATTACGATTATAAAATTTATAGTCAAATTTCGAAAGTTTTTTCAAGGGACTTATTTTATTTTTATCTTTATTTATTTTATAATTCAATATTACTCATTTGCTTCTAATATAAATGTATGTCAGTTGATTTGATTTTTCAATAATTATAATTACTAAGCTTACACACCTTTTGGAGTATAATTTATACTTCTTATATATACCTTATATATAAATAAAATATTTGTAGTATTGAATTTTATCAATAACAATAGTCACTAAATTATAAATGAACATTCTCCATTAAATGTAAAAATATCTTCAGAAGGGATCAATTCCCCTGACAGTTTATTTGCCTCCCACGTTTGGAATTAATTAAAGCACCACTACTACGTAATCTACTCCATATATCTTAATGACTTTTTTTTATAAAAATAGATTTAATAAATATTTTTGTGTAATTACAACTTAAATTATTGTGTCTAAATTTTATAAAAGTGAATTAAACATTAAATTGTTATGTTACTAATGAAATAAGTTATGATTTACATATATAAAGTAGTATAAATTTTATTGATTAATTATTTAAATATAAAATCTTCATGATTAATGCAATCAATTTAAAGATGTTTAGGTGTTATTATTAAAAATAATTTAAAAATTTCCAAAACATATAAACTCAAAATTCTTAGAAATAAAAAAAAAAACTAAAACTTAAATATATGAATTACTAGAGATTTCTTAAGGTTTAATACACAATCAAGGTGTTACAACCGTACTTTAGGATTTAGACTGCAAATCGAGCATTTTCACATATGAAAATTGGAATTACCTCTAGATTTAATCTTTTAATAATATTAGTTTTCTATCACTATATATTACGAACGTGCAGAATTGGCACACTCTAGCATCCCTCACAGAGTTACAAACCACTACGACGAAGTAACTGTTTTCATGAGATCGGCTTAAATAGTTTGTATGTTCTTATTAACTATCTCTGTAGTACATGACATTCGTTGATATTGCTTATGCAGTTCAAATCTTTAGATTTATACATATTTATACATATTTCGGCGGCTTTTATAACAATTCGACAGTGTCTTTAAGAGTCGCATTTTCCTGATCGCAACTCTACAGTTTTGCAGATTCCGCTTCTAACTTATATAGCTACGGACTCTGTAAACTATCTGCTGCAAATTGCCAACCAGTAGAAGTCTGTAGTGAACTACATACTTCCTACAAGCTAGGGACTTGATAACCAGTAAATTTTTCTTTGATAGAACTTATTTTAAACATACTACTGAGAATAGAGCATTTTATGACAATTTGGTCCCAAATCAAATAGATAAAATTAAGCCCATAGCAAATACAAGATTTATAAATAGTCTAGAATTAGATTAGAATAGTCTAGTTAGATCAGGATGCATTCGTAGTCTATTATTTATTAATAATAATAATGACTAAATTTTTTTTTGGTACAGGTTTTCAGCACTCCCTATCTTAAGTAATACCCAAAATAGAATCTTTCATTCTTTCAAACGATTATTTTCTTATATTGACATAAGAAGTCGCTTCCTAAATTTATTAGACTTCAGAAGAAGTATCAAAGTATCAAAAAAAAAAGACTGAAAAATTTATAAAAACGTATGTCAATAAATAAAATCAATACAAACTAATTTGCAATAAATAAAATGTACTGAGATATATACTGGGATATATATTGTTGCCACGGTCATAAATTAAATTTTCCACACATTTATTTCCTTAATTTTCCGCAATGTTTAACTAAAAACTAAGAAAAGTTTTTGTTAACTTTCTCAATTCCCTTTTCACAATTGGTGGGTGCGTGTGTCGCATGGCACAATCTTAAAACCACAGGTCATGAGCACAATCAAGGATAAAAAGCTGTGAAAAACATTTATACGCTTGAGTATTTTTGAACAAGGAAAAAATTAAATAAAAATAGTAAGAAAAATACAGGAAAATCATTTTATATAAAATGTTTTGAGGTGTGAGATGTGAGAAGTGTTTAAATATGGAATTTCATACAAGTTTCCATTTCATGAGCTCACATCGTCATGAAACTATTGAAGTGGAATTGGTGCAATTCAAACTGAAAGCAAAAATTTTATTTTTAAATGAGACAGTAAAACACTGAGAGCGAAGCACTTGATTACTTGCTATTTTAGTGACCTCAAAACGCTTTAATATGGAATTTCTTTGTTAGAAAGTGCGAAGTGGTATATACTATTTTTGTCGATAGTTATAACAAATTCAATTTATATATGGATATCAGCCAATGATTAACTCAAGAAAGTATTATAAATAAAAAAAGGCTATACTAAAAATAGATTAGGAAGGAAACAAGTTACGTTTTGTGGATCTTTAAAAAAAAAAATAAAATTAATTAAGTAAACTAAAAATAGATTATTAAACGACGTCAAAGTCAAAGCATGTCAAAGAACAGTTTGTATGAAATAACGCTCAAAAACTATTTAATAAGATATCCTTAATAACCAAATAAACCTTATTTGTATAAATCACAGTAAATCATATATTCCTTATCATATATATGACTTCTTCTAGAACAATGGTGCTTCCATCGGTGCCCCGCATGTAGTTAAATATGGTCCGTTAATCAAATTTAACAGGTATGGACACATAGTTTGTAGTTTGTAGTTTCACCACTGAGAACTTACTTATTAGAAAATAAACTCAAAAAAATTTCAATAAATTATATACATACTTATTTTATAACCTATGTAATATATCTTTAAACTTTTTCAATTCATTATACATACATTATACCAAAGATTCATAAAGCATATTAAAATAATCATACAATATATTATTCTTAAACTTTGTAGTCCCTATTAAAAACAAAAATATCATAGTGGTCCTTGATCAAAGTAAGGTTGGAAACGAATATTCTAGAAGAATATACCTTTATCTTAAAAATATGCATTTGTTGCGACTGAAATTGTGTATTTCT